AATGAAAATAGAAAATTTCCAGCCGTATTATCCACCAGGGTGTCTATGTGTGGCAAAGGGAAATTATCTTTCGGACTGGCTCGATTAAGATCTCTGTAGTCGACACACATACGAACTTTTCCATCTTTTTTTGGTACTGGAACAACATTCGCTACCCATTCCGGATACTTGGCTACTTTTAGGAACCCAGCATCGAATTGCTTCTTTACTTCTTCTTTAATTTTAAGCAGCATTTCAGGTCGCATCCTTCTGAGCTTTTGTTGTACCGGTTTACATTCAGGCTTTATTGGCAATTTATGTACCACTAACTCAGTGTCTAAACCTGGCATGTCCTCATACGACCAAGCAAACACATCTTTGTAGTCTTGGAGCAGCATAATCAGACTTTTTCGTCCCTCAGTAGATATGATGGTGCCAATTTTTATCTCCTTTTTATCTTCCTCTGATCCCAGATTCAAGATCTCAATGGGCTCTTCATGAGGCAGAATTTGTTTATCTTCTCTCTCTACCATTTTTAGTAGTTCAGAAGGTAAGTCACTTCCCTCATCAATATCATAACCTTCAATTTCCCCTTGACATATGGGCAGCTCGAAATCTATCTTCGGGTCAGAGTCATCAGCATTCATACCATTGATACCGGAGGTCCTGAAAGAATAACGAACGAGAGGATATATATATACATATACAAATACGGGAGGATCTAACCCATATCAAAATAGAATGAAATAATAATATATATAATAAAGAAATAAATAAAAAATGCAATGGATGATGTTTGCCATTTCGTGAATTAACAGGAATGCATCATTTATTAAAAAAACAGATAGATTAACCCCTTACAAAAGATCACATATTGTCCCGGGGTTTAGACAATAGGGAAAGTTTTTGTGCATTACTCTGAAATAGTTTTGTAAACTACAGGTAATTCTTCTGCAGTCCAATTGTTTAGCACAAAGCCTGGTGGTGCAGGGTAAATGTCCATAGCCACTCCATCTTCGATTCCTTCCTCTGATATCACATTTATACCCAAATCCCTCAGGGCATTTTCAATAATAGGCTCTTTAGATGATCGGTCCCCCTGAAACATGTGGCCTCCTGATATGAAGGTGTCACGCAGCGATGGGAAAATCATAGGCTCCCACTTAATATCCTCCCTGGCTAACCTGGCTTTCCTCTTTTCCTTGCTCTTTTGAACATTTTTCAATTTTTCCTTTAAAGTCGGGCGATATCCTAGACCAAAACGATCTAGCTTAAAACCGGGAAAAACTGGACTAATATTCCCCTGTAAGCGACTCCCTAGCCCTCTTCCAACCTTGGCTCCTCTTCCCAGGGTCATTTTCAGTCCCATTTTGGTATAATTTGATAGCCTAGGCTTTGGAATTTTCTTTCTTTCAGCAACAAATGTGGCATTAATAAATTCTAGGGCTCTGAAAGAGCACTCGACTGCATCTTCATCTACTTCAACATATGGAGCGGTAGTAGATATGGAAGCAATGATATCTTCCTCGGCATTAAGGCATACCAATCTCCCCTCAATTACAAATTTGAGTTTCTGATGCAGAGTAGATGGAACGACTCCTGCCTGGTGGATCCATGGCCTTCCTAACAAGCAGTTATAGGAGGGCATTATATCCATTACAAGGAATTCAACCTCGTATGTTGATGGGCCTATGGTTAAAGGAATATCAATCTTCCCTAGCACCTCCTTCTTTGTTCCGTCGAAAGCTCGAACGATGCTTTGGCAATTTCTCATGTGTGTACTATCGACTGGTAATTTCTTCAAGGTTACTAATGGCATCACATTCAGGGCAGAGCCGTTGTCAATTAGTACTCGCGGGCGGTAACACATGTCCCTTGCATTGGATGGTAATGTGCAGGGCTTTGGGATTGCCCATCATTCCGGACGGGATCTCGTCATCAGAGAAAGAGATGAAGTTATCCGCCTGAATATTTGTAACTAGTCGGTCTATTTTTTCCACTGGTACATCTTTCGGTACGAAGGTCTGATTCAAGATTTTCAACAAGGCGTTTCGATGTGCCTCAGAGCTTAATAGTAAAGCTAGGATTGAGATACGAGCTGGCAATTTGTGTAATTGTTCAACAATGCTATATTCGCTATGTTTCAAGAATTTTAAAAACTCTACAGCATCATTCTCGGTTACAGGCTCATTAATTGTTGGCTCATCATTTTTCAATAATATCTCAACCCTTTTTCCTTTATCAACGATCGTTCTTTTCTCGGGTTCACTGGTCTGGTTGGGAGAATAACATCTCCCACTTCTGGTGAAATGGCCTACCTCGTCCACTTCTTCCTTAGCAGCCTCTGAACTCTCAACATTCTTTAATTGGCATCCATACCTCCAAGGGACCTGCTTGTTGTCCTTATAAGGAAAGGACGACGGAGGCGTGATCACTATTTTAGGGATTAACCTTTCCATAGTCTGGGCTTTCGGTGTGATGACTAAAGGGCAGTTGGTATTGTAAACTCCCTTAGATGTGTCTTCGGAAGCGCAAATCTCAATCTCTTTCTCTTTCTTAGCTTTATGGTAAAATTCCATATCTTTACTATCCATCAGCCTTTGAACCAAAGCCTTAAACTCATCACAACTTTGAATGACATGATCCTCGCAACGGTGGTAGGGGCAAGCATGCTTATTTTCATTAGCATTAAAGGTCAACCAGCCTATTTTGACCATTTGCCCCCATACCCAATGCATGGGTGACTTCACTTCTTTGACTTTGGTAATGATTTCGTTCCCTTTTTCTTCAATAACAGCATTAACTCCTGTCCCTGCATGGTTTGGCAGTGGGTTCTGAGCCACATTGGGCTGCTCGCTGTCACCAAAATTGATGACATTTCTTTGTCTTAATCTCTGCACCAACTTTTTAAAGGCCAGACAGTTTTCAATTGAATGCCCCGATGCCCCTGCATGATACTCACATTGAGCATTGATGTCAAACCATTTTGGGTAAGGAGGCTGTATTGGAGAAGTGTGGTAAGGTGACACCACATGTTTGTCATACAGGATCTGGAATAGTTCTTTATAAGTCATGGGGATAGGGTCAAATTGAACCCTTTCCCTTTCCTGTCTTGGTTCTTTCGCCCCTTGCTGGACAGGATTTAGTGCTGACGATACAGTGGCTTGTGGTCGAGATACTGTAATGTTATTAGAATCATATTTCTTCACATTACTGACCTCATTATCCTTCCTTCTTGCTGGAGGCTTTCGGCTAGATTCTCCCCCGTCTAGCTTCCCGCTTTTGATCGCCATCTCAATCATTTCTCCTGCATTAACTATATCAGCAAAATTCTTGGACGAATTTCCAATAAGATGTCCAAAGAAAGGGGCCCTCAGAGTATTTACAAAGAACATATTAGTTTCTTCCTCCTCTAATGGTGGATAAACTTGCACAGCCACATCTCTCCACCTTTGGGCATACTGCCTGAAGCTCTCGTTGGATCTTTTTCCATACTCTGTAACAGAATTCGGTTTGGCCTCACATCTTTTACATGCTTATATTGCTCTAGAAAAGCCTTAGCCAAATCCTTCCAGGATTTAATATTAGCCCGACTTAGCTGATTGTACCAACGAATTGCTGATCCTGCCAGGCTTTCTTGAAAACAATGAATTAATAACTGATCGTTTCCCACATAGCCTGTCATTTTTCTGCAAAACATGGTAATATGTGCAGAAGGACAACTGGTGCCATCAAATTTCTCGAAATCTGGAACTTTGAACTTCGGCGGCAACACTAAATCAGGGACCAGACTTAGCTCTCTGGCGTCAATTCCATATAGGCTAGCATCTTCTTTCATAGCTCGGAATTCATGCTTCATTTGTTCCCATTCTTTCTTAATCTCCTTATCCTGTTCTTTTTGTCTTCCTCATCCAGATCAGGGACATCTTCAATTGGTTGCGGGTTTGTAGAAGAGCCAGGTAGGTTTACTTGTATTTTTTTTGGTTGGATGGTTGTGGTTTGTTGTGCGTGGAAATGCGGTGGTGTGAAACCAGGGGGATATAATGGTTCTTCGGCAGTATGACTGATAATTGGAGTCTCTTCTCGGATTATACTATTTCCTTGTAGCAAACTAATCAACTTTGCCATCATGTCGTCTTGAGCCTTCATCATCTGTTCGCGCATATCCTCTTGGGCTTTCTTTAAATTCTCTTGCATTTCAGCTTGAGTTTTTTCAATTTGTGCGATCTTGTCATCCATTTTCTTGGTTGATTGACGAGTACCGTATGGGTGTGAGGTGTATGCCAGAATAACTACAAATGATTGGAAATTGTATTTTATTATTTGGTGAATTTTAATGAATGAATTGTTATAATGTAATCATTAAGATTTTAAAAATTTAGGAAAAAAACATATGAAAATGATAATGCAAATGCAACCCGATATTGATTCCAAAATAACTTAGTTTATATAAAAAGTACTCAACAACACAACGTCTAAGCACTTAGGCAAAGAGATTATATCGAATGAATACTAAATATAGAATCTTGCCATATTCCCTAATCTCTCAAGTTCTATCATTAATCCCATGATGCGGCGTTCTTCCTCTGATTCTAGAATCACGAAAACTCTTAAAGCTGCCGCTTCTTCAGATAATTCATAAACTTGGCGAGCTACATCGCGAGCCTGATCCACTGCTCTCTCCATTGCTTCATGTTGCATTTGAATGGTGTCCTGAGCCTGTCGTAGAGCAATTCCAAGCTCTGGATTAGTTAATGGTCGGCTCTCTTCTAGCTGTTGGATTCGCTGATGACATCTATGCACTATGACTTCTAACTCAGTAATCTTAGCTTTTAAGGCCTCGTTTTCTTGCATTGTTACCTCTTGTGCGGATGAGTGGATCAACCCTGCTCTTTCTAGTTCAACTATCTTCTTCTTTAACATCTCATTTTCTTTTTGAAGACTGTTGTAAGGGTTCCGAAAAGTCTCATCGATGCTAAGCAGCTGTGCTTCGAGTTGTTCAATCTGTGTTCGCCTTTGTGCTAATTCTTGTTAGCCTCATCTCTTTGCTCTCTCAGTTTCCGAGCGTGTTGTAGAGCTCGTTTCTTTTCTTCTTGGCCTCTTCTTGCGCTTCTTTCTACCCTATCGAGTTTTATCTTTAGGGTCTTGGCAGTATGATGTAGATCTTGGGCTCTCATATTCCTCTCTAAGGCCCGAAAATCTTGGTTTAGCGCATCAAAATTCTCCTGGACCTTTTCTTTCTCTTTGGCCAATTGTTTTATCACTCCGTCCTTTTTAATCATTTCAAGTTCCCATATTGTTTTCTCCTCCGAAAAGCTTCTCTGTTCTTTTTCTCTCTCCAAATTCATCAGTCGCATTTCCTCTTTTAACAACTCTGTTTCTGTTGGGAGCCTCCTCAATCGCTCCTCCATAGTCAACTGGTCCTCTAAATTTGGCTTAGGTGTGTTGTTGTTAATTCTCTGCGACCTCCAAACCTCATAGGCCGGCGTGAATACAGGCTCTATCATCTTGAAGCTCATGCATTGAGGCTTCTGCCAAGCCGCGTAGATCTTTGAAATCCGCTCTCGGTAACCCGGAGTAGAGAAAGAAAACTCTGCCTCTTTCAGGCCATGGGTAGCTGGTACGAACTGTCGGGTACCAAACTGTCTAAGTACAATTAACGGAGTATACCCGATAGCTCCCCATAATCCGTGTAGCATTATAAAACTATCATTACCGCACCTAAAAAGTATGTCCTCTTTGGGTAACCAATAAGCCTTCCATACTATCTCAGTATCTTTCATGTTACGGAGAGCTTCAACCCAGTCTTTCCTCTTGCGATGCTCTGGGATTTGGCATTTGTCGAGGAAATCCACTAGAGGTGAAAAATTTGATTGATGTCTCCGAGCCCAGGCTTTCTCGACTATCCAGGAGTGGCTCCACCACCAAACTAGTAATAGTGAAGCACATCCGATGAATTGACCTCCCCCTAATCGTCTACACTGGTTCAGTGACAAGAATGTTTCTGCAAGGATGGCTGGTGCAGGATTCTTTCTAGCGACAGCTTCGACGAAATCGATTAAGGTGATGTCGAAGTGATCCTCATTCCTGGGGAAAATTACCAAACCATATACTGCAAGTGCGAAGTGATCTCTTCTTCTTTTTGACGGAGTTTGCTCGTAAATTAAACTCTTCAGCTGAGCCCAGGAGATCCCTTCATCACGAATGTACTCTTCAACCCACTCCTTGGTCTTTCCCGTCAACGTGATCATCTTGGCTATGAACCCTTTAGGTCGAATTGCCTTGGTGTAAATGGAATGTCTTCTAACATTCGGAATGTTCAGCAAAGTCGTATACTCCTCTAAGGTAGGGGTCATGTCTACTTTACCGAAAGTAAAACATCTGTAAGCTGGATTCCAACATTCGGCAAGGGCTCGAATCACCACTGAATCTATTGGTACTCTCAGCAGCTCTACGATGTCGTCGTATATCCCTCTGAACAATGTCTTCTCATTATCATCCCAGGTGGACCAAATTCTTGATAACTCAACCCAATGTGCCTGCCTGACTCGAATGATTACCTTTTCTGGAAAAACTGTATCTTCGGTAGTGGCAAGGCTGTCCCCGAACCGTGTTTGTCTGTATTCAGACCAGGTCTGAACACTGATTGCATTCTCAATCCCATCGGAAGACATTGTTGCCTTAAGCTTTTTTATAATAACTAGGTAATCTGGGAATCAATACGTTTATTAAATGATGTGATATGATAATGATACATGCAATCAAGAAACAAAGCAATAAGTTAGTGATATTAGAATAATTAAAAAAAATCAACGAATAATTAGTAAAAATTTAAAGTATCGAATGCAAAATAATCAAAGAAAATAAAAAATCCTAACATCATGCGATCTAATTCTTCTAAGTTATCTGCATGGCTTTAACGAGGTAGGCTTACTAAATTCTTTATATGAGGTTGGGTTCTAACAAAAGGTTCCTAAGCCATCTTTACAACCTGCTAAGGTTGACCCCGATTCTGGCCCATTACAGACTTGCGAATCGGGTTCAGCTCAGGGGATCACACCACTAAAAGCGTACCTCGGAACTGATATCCGGATAGGCAACTTAGGGTGCTTTCCAGAGATACTTTGTCAGACCCACACAAGAAAGCCCAATGCTCCTCATGAGGTGTGACGTTTCTCTCTACTTAAGTATACTAGGATTGATCTCAGGTTTAGAGCTATGATATGCAACAATTCTAAATATTTCACAGAAATGTAAGCATTAATCAGAGAGAAAATCTTTTTTTTTTGTTTTTTTTGAAATAACATAATGAATCGTAAATTAAACAAGATTGAACTCATAATTTCCAAATAATAAATATAGGGTAACCAACTCGTGGCTCGACTCTCAATTTGTTTAAAAAAACAAAAGTCCCCAGCAGAGTCGCCAAGCTGTCGTAACCGTTTTTCGCCCGAAGGGAAAGACCGATATCGACTTGGGGGTTTCTCTTTGAAAATCGTTTCAAAAGGTGAGGAGTCGCCACCAATCATTTAAGGTGAGATTGGAACACCATAAAAACCGGGTGATTTTAAAATATTTTTATTTTAATAAAATACCGAGTTTTTGAGGTCTGCAAAATCCAGAAATCAGGTTCGGGAGTCGGTTACGCGTGGGGAAGGATTAGCACCCCCACAAGCGCCCAAAAATTGGTACCTAGTTGATTACCCTATATTTAAAATCGGAAATTTTGAGTTCGATCTTTATTTAATTTAAAAATCATTAAGGATGTAGAGTTTGAAAAGGGTATTCGTTTATTGAGGCCGATAGCATTCGCCCCCGAGCGTAAATGCGGGAGATCAGCTATTCTGTCTAATAACCGAACATTGCCTCATTTTTAGAAAACATGATGTGGTTTAAAAAGGATGTTGACTTATTTGGGGAATTACCAGTAGTCACCCCTGAGCACGATCGCGGAGGATATACTATTAATTCCTAAATAGTGAACAGTGCCTTAGATTTGTAAAAACAACGCAATCAAATAAAATTTTATTTGTCCTAATTAAACTAAAAGTAAATCAAGGCCTTTTTCTAACTTAAAATGTCAAATTATGAAAATTAAGGAACATAGGGGTTCAAATCTAAAATGTAGGTTCTAGTATTAATACTATATATTAAAATGAATTAAATATTTACGTATTACAAAATTTCTTTTGATAAATTTTAAAATGATCGAATATTATCCTTAGTCAATTTATTTTGATTCGAGTTAAGTAATGCTCATGAGAATATTGTACAAATTCTTTCGAATTGAAAAGTACATGAAAATAAGTCTACATGCTCCTGATCAAATAAATTTACATTGCTTTACACGTATTAAATTGGTAAATATAATTAAAGGATATAAACACATTTACCTATTATGCAATATACCTATATGGCATACATATATATAATATTATATTACATATGAATTCATGAGATGCAAAATACGTAAATAAAACAAGTGCCGTGGTACCCTATTTCTGTCGATTGGTATTCGCGTAACATAGAAAAGTTAACGCTTAACAAAAAAAAATCTTGGCAACATATTAATAAATAAAAAAAACTAAAGAGTGGACGTTTGATGTGAATTAAAGAGAACAAATAAACAAAAAAATACCATCAGATAGTAAATTATTTAATAGTTGTAGTTGTTTCATACATAAAGTAATGGTTTTCTTGGGCCCTTTGTTCATCATTTCTGGAGTATTTCAAAGAAATAGGATCCACTTTCCTTCTTTTGTCTTGGAGTAGGTGTTGACCAAACATTTAAAAAAATTCTACCGGAAAAGCATACTAATTTAAACTAAAAATACTAACTTTAAAATAATGGCTAAATTCAAATAAAAGTAAAATTACATCTATAAAATTAAAAATAAACTAATGACCTAAATACAAAATAAACATACGTTACAGGGTCTTATGTATGATTTATCCTATTTAAATTAAACTAAAACAATATGTAAAATAACATAAATAGTGCCTGCACATTTGAAAATAATCAGAAAATTAAAATAAATAAAGGACTTCTTTAAAAGAATGTAACTAAATTTTGAGAACCTAAGAATAATTTACCCTAATAAGTACGGTGACTAAAAGTTAATTTACCCAAACTTTTAATATAAAACCTAATTTATGCCTAAACCTAAGCTAACTTACACAGGAAATGCCTCACTCCTCTTCACTTTCATTTTCATCCTAAACAGAGAGTTGAAACTCTCTTCTCCTGCCACCATGTTCAACGGACATGGTAATGACCCAAAACCTCTACCAAAGCAAAGCGACCACCACAACCCTCTATGGACAAGGTTCCGTTTCTAACAGACTCTTAAACGTTTTTTAGTTTTTATTTTATTTTATTTTATAATTTGTTTTTTACTCTAGTGATTGTTGATATTTATGATGATGATTTTTTACTTGAATGCTTTCGTTATTTTTCTTTGCTGTTTGTTCTTGATGAAGGAAATAAGGAACGATTCTCTCGTTCTAAACCCAAACCGGCCTCTAGTGACACATGCGAGCCCTGGAACTGTAAGTAAAGTTTCTCGACAAAATCTCCACAAATATCAGTGACTTAGACTCCAACAACGACGAGACAAACAAAAGAAAAAAAAGTAATAAAAAAACTCTTTTTTCATATTTTCTACTTGCTTAGAAAGAAAAACATTCAAAAATAATACTGAAAATTGAAATAAAGATGGGAAATACCAAAAAGGTTCTTTGCTTTCTATTGATTCCTTGGTTTTTGAAATACAATCTTCAGTGAGACTGCCGTCATGATGACTATTTTTCTGTTTTTTTGAAGAATTGAGTCCTCTGTTACAAAGAATAATTTTCCCTCTCCATTTGCTTTCCCTCGTTCAAATTACCCCTGTTCGAATCCTTTGTTGAAAAACCAAACCCTCTGTTGTTGATTCTCTCTTTTTCTTCCTCCCTTCACCTCTTCTGTCTTCACCGGATATATAATTGTACGCATGTGGGAGCAGGTTGGATCCAAGATTTTTCCTGATTTTTGGGTATTATTCTAATATTTAGTGGATTTTAGTGGAGTTAATTTGGTCTGGTTTTTTTATGTTTTGGGTGGTATTTGCCGTAAGGAATGATGATGGTTACTTTGGTGATCTACAATGTGCTCAGCGTCGTGCTTGGCAGTGGCTTCGGGTATGAACCTATCACCGGGTCGGGTTACTGGGCCAGTTCGGGTCTTCTTGTATTGCTGTTAGGTCGGGTCTAATCCAGCTTACTATGGGTCGGTTCTTGGAGTCTCGGGGCTGGAACTTGGGTTGAAACCTTGTAGTGGACTGTTGTGTTTTATTTTGTAATTTGGGCTGCACATTAAGCCTGCCAAATATGTAAATAATATTAATAATAATAATAATACATATAATAATAATAAGAACGAGATGAAAAATCGGGTGTCGACAAGTATTTGCCCTTGAGCATCGATACTCACCCTTAATATCAATATCAACAATGCATTTTGGATTTGAAAATACCTTATAGTATTGATACTCCTATAGTGAGTATCAGTACTTCTCTATTAAGGTATCGTTACTGCCCTGGGTATCAATACCAAATTTGGGTTCGATCTTTAGACAATTAATACGATATTGATACTCTTACTTGGGTATGAGTACTTTTCATCTATGTGGTATTGATAGTCCCCAAGTATTGATACCAATTTTGGTTATTGGAATTTGCAGTATAACGAAGATACCGATACCCAACCCTTGGGTATCGATACCTGAAGAACAATATCTATACTCAATGAATAGAGTATCGATACTACCTAGCCAAAACTATGATATTAGTCATTTATTATTCTTGTTGAGTCTTCATGAACAAACATTCATTAAAGAGGTGAACGTCTTATATCATTATTTAACTAATACGCAATTCAAAGTCTTGCTCGTATTGGTTAATTCATCACTTAGGCCCATAAGGGAAATTTGGTAATTTTAACCACCTAAGGGCATTTTAGAAACCTCTCACACTGAAGATAAAAGCCCGATCTCAATAGATATTAAACTCTTCACTCTCGATTCTATTTAATATCTTGAATTTATTCAACCACTTTAGGTATTTATATCAAGCTTTTGATATAGTTACTCAATCTTCAATATGGATACCAGTTCACCATATATTGATACCAACCCTTTGTAATCCTTTCTTTAGGGTTTTTTACACCACTCTTCCACCATTCAAAAGCCAACAAATGATTTCAACATGAAAATGAAGAACAATAGATGTTATACAATGACTATGATACATGGAAATCAGATAGAAATCATGGGATGAGAGCTCAAATCTTCGTAAAACCTCATGAGAGCTTAAGAACACCATTTATTGATATGGTGAGCTTTTCATGAAGCTCAAGAACTATAGAATAAGGATTTTACCTCAAGATTTTCGAATTAAAGAATGAGTTGAGGAAAGGTTAAGACTTTTTCTTTTGTTCTTGCTTAAAATGAGAGAATGAGAAGAATAAGAAAGAGATTATATGAGATAAGAGTTGGAAAAAAATAAAAGGAAAATATGGTTTTCATAGCCACCCAAAATACCACATGAATCAGCTAAAAATCCTCCCAAATCTTACATTTTTCCTCGATGAGGAAATTACACTCTAGATCCGTCCACTTTTATCCTAAGCTTAAAA